GTGGCGTATAGTAACTTAGTAGTAGGAGTAGTAGTAGTAGTAGTAGTAGTAGTAGTAGCACTAGCAGCAGTAGTAGTAGTAGTAGTAGTAGTAGTAGTAGTGCTGGTAGTGCTGGTGGTGGTGGTGGTGGTCGTGGTCGTGGTCGTGGTGCTGGTAGTTCTGGTAGTGCTAGCCGTAGTGGTAGAGATGGTGGCAATGTTAGTGGTAGCAGTAGCAGGAGTAGTGGAAGTAGTAGTGGTAGGAGTAGCAGCAGCAGTAGACTCTGGTAGTGGCAGTAGAAGAAGTAGACGTAGAAGTAGAACTAGGAGTAGGAGTCGGAGTAGGAGTAGAGGCAGAAGCAGAAGAAGTAGTAGTCGTCGTGGGGGTGGTGGTAGTAGTAGTTGTTGTAGTAGTTGTTGGTCGGTGTCGGTAGTTGTAGGTAGTAGGTCTACCATCCTAGTAGTAGTAGTAGTAGTAGTAGTAGTAGTAGTCTTCGTCGCCGTGATGTTGTCAATAGTTTCATAGTGTCAGTAGCTGGTCAGCTCCCGGTTCAATCAAGCATCTGCGCACACCAGTGCCTGGTTCGGGCGCCGCAGCGTAGAGTTTAGTTGAGGGTTGAGGATTGCAGGTCTCGGCGTTTAGGGTGTAGGGTTTAGGATGTATGGAGGCACTTCAGAGAGACCTCGTCCAAAAGGATGTGAGTATGCATAGCCCAGGTGTAAAAGGATGTGAGTGAGGATCTCAGGATTTATGATCTTCGCAAGGCAAAGACAGCCGAATGTTGCTGACGCTTAAGAGCGTTGAGTGCCTTAAATTCCCAGCAAGGCGTACTAGCTCCAAAACTGGTCTCAAAGTCTAAGGGGCCTTAGGGTTTAGGGTCTTGGCGATTGATTGCACAAGTCCTGGTATGCAAAGAGGCTTTGAGGGCTCAGCAGCTGCTAGCTTCTTTCGCAGCGGCACTTGACACCGGCAGCGAGCATTTGTACTGAGGTTTCACCCCGGCATGGGAGGAGGACTTGGGCCAAAGCTGTGCCGTGCGTTGTCCTAACCAAAGGGTCCGATGCAAGAACAAATGGCATGAAGACGAGGACAGCTGCGGGTCGAAGGTGTAGGTGGCTTCGGCAACCAAAACATCGGCTGCTCAACTCAGAATTCTTGGACTTTGAGAGATGTTTCTCTTTCGGATGGCATTTTGAAGGTTTCCTTGCTGCATACTTGCACTTCGGGGAAGTCGGAATTGCGAAACGCAACTTGCAGGCGCCTGCATAATTGTGAAGATGGCTGTGCCCTATCTATAGGTTATGTGAGCATCCGTCAAAACTTCCGTAATTGTAATTAACTTGGCCAAGCCCTCCAAAAGCCATAGGATCCACCAAAAGCGATGAGATCAACGAAAATCATCCGTTGTGACATTTCATTGCTGCCGCCGCATTTGTGCCAGTGTGATATGAGCTAGACAACCGTTACCTAATCGATAGCCAATCGACAACCTAAACCCACCAGATCGTTGCATGAGCCACCGGCTGATCTGATGGTATCATTGTTACGGTTGCTATGCTACTACTGTCGCGGAAATGACTATTACTACTTTTACTTTACTACTTGTGCTACTGCTTGCTAGCGATACCACACAGGAAAACATGACTAGATCCTTGTAAAGCGGTAGGACCCCCCAAATCATCCATGACCAGGCCTTGGACTAAAGCTGAAACATAGAGAACGTCCCGCGAATTCGCTGCATCCGAGGTTTCACTCCTGAGAACTGGACCGACAGTGGAAACTCCTTCCACACTTTAGAGGCCCGTGCATGTTGCACGCAGACGGAAGGCCATGTCCGCGCGAAACCTGTGCAAGTAAATGCTCGTGGTACTTCGTGAGTGCATGACAAACACTGCGACGTGCAGCCATCTTGGCTTAGAACTTTGATCTTGAATGTTAGGAGACCGGCCGTCACAGATTTGGCCGGCTCCTTTTGGATCAGATAGCGATGGATCCTTATGCCAGTCTTCGCGGAGAATACAGTACCCTGGATGTTGCACGCGAGATGCAGCGAGCGGACGTGCAAGACCCCTTTGCAGGCAATCCGTTTCGAACCGACGCTGGATCTGACTTTCTTGGTCTTGATTTCCCCCAGCAGCAAGAGCACAGCTCAGCCGCCCAGAGGGGCAGCCGAATGAGTCCAGACTTCCTCCCGCTCGGAGGTTCGATGCAGTCCATTCCCTCACCCGTGGCCATGAGTGGATTGCAGGTACATGGGGCATCTCCAATGGCAGGCCATACGCCCGGCAAGGCCCCACCAACTGGATTGGTCACAGAAGAAGTGTCCCAACCGTTTGACAAATCCGGCATCATGTCACCCCAAGAGCTCCAAAACCTGAAACGGGATGCATCAGACGTGCAGGTCCAGGACAGTCGGGTCGTTAGCACGAGGGTCGTGGACAAGCAGGAACAGAAAGTGTCTAAGGTGGTCACGGGCAAAAGGCAGGTCATCACCGTTGAGAAAGTGGTTGAGATCCCCCAAATCATAACAAAAGAGACCATCAAACGTGTGCCAAAGCCAGAGATCATTGAGCGTATCATTGAGGTCCCAGGAAAAGTGGAGTACCGCTACAGCGGACGTGGGGGGCCAGGCGGTGGTCCAGGTTCTTATGGTCCGGGCTCTTATGGGCCAGGTTCTTATGGACCAGGTTCGTACGGTCCAGGTTCTTATGGCGCTGGTGATGCGGGAGGTCCCGGCGGCTTCGGTCCAGGTGGACGACAAGGTCCTGCAGGTGGATGTGGCCCTGGAAGTTACGGTGGTTTCCCCGGCGGCGGATGTGGTGCTGATGGATATGGTCCGGGCGGCGCTGGAGGCAGTCCAGGTGGCGGTCTCGGTGCATGTGGTGGGTTTGGAGCTGGTGGATTTGGCGGCAAAAATGGTTCGTGCGGTGGGGGCGCTTATGGCGAAGGTGGTCCGGGTGGCTTTGGCCCGGGTGGAGGTGGCCCAGGTGGAAACTTTTCGGGGCTTGGCTCCTTTGCACCCGGTCCGACAGTCTTTGTGCCGGGAATGGGTCCGTGTGGCTGTGGAGGTTGTGGCGGGCCTGGCGGGCCTGGTGGGCCTGGCGGGCCTGGCGGCTGGGGCGGGCCTGGTGGCTGCGGAGGTCCGGGAGGTTGCGGAGGTCCAGGAGGCTTCGGAGGGCCAGGAGGGATGGATCCATACGGCTTGGGAGATGGAGGCGTTTACGGACCAGGCATGAGTGGCATCGGTCCTGGGGGGCTTGCTATTGACTATGGGGGCTACGGCGGGGGCGGCATCCGTGATGCTCTGGGATATGATCCCATGCAGCTGGTGGGTGGCCCTGGCAGTTTGGAGGAGGCGATGCAGAACCTGGGCGGTTCCGGTGACAGTGACCTCCCCGGGCTTCCGCCAGGAGTGGAGCCAGGCAGTAAAGAGTACAACGACCATCTCCACATGCTGGAAGCCCAGGGCTTGATCGAGATCCGCGAGGAGATCGTGGAGGTACCGCAGGTGGTCCTTGAGGAACGAGTTGTTCACGTGCCGGGAAGGAAGCAGATCCAGGAGAGGCTCATCGAAGTCCCCAAAGTGGAGTGGGTGGAGCGTGTAGAGTACGACGACTTCGTTGAGTACCGTGAGGTGCCAGTGGATAAAATCATCGAAGTGCCCGAGATCGAGTACAAGATCAAGCAGGTAGACCCGGGGAAATTTGTCGCCAACAAAGTTGTAGTATCAACATTGCATGTCAGTCGTCGTCGTTGCCCTAGGCAGCATGAGCAGTACCTAGTTTCCCGAATCTTATGAAGCAGCCGACGTGATGCAGCCTGAGGTTGACCAGACGGTGCCGCAAACTTACATCCAGGAGCATTTCGTGGACAGGTATAAGGAAGTACCCGTGACACAGGTCCAGGAGACAGAGCGTATCGAGCACGTGCCCGTCATGGTCCCCAATGACTGGCGGCCGCCTAATTTGGCAGCACTCGGGGCAGGGCCCCAGAATGCGATCCCACCGGCGATTGTCACCACCTAGTCTCCCGCTTGAATTCGCCGGGAACGCTTGATTTCACCTCTTGCGAAACTGAGTGCAAGCAGCGCAAGAGTTTGCACAAATCGCTTCACTTTGAAAGTTGACCCGTGGCAGCTATGTCGCGTGCTGTCAGTGTTAGGCACTGCGTTCCGACATCGACAGCAAGAAAGTTGTGGTGTTGCAGTGTCAATACTGTCCGATCTTCGCGGCTCAATGTCGATACTGGAAAAGGCACCTGGCTGTAGGGCAAGGGTCAGTGCACTCGGCTGCCCAAGTGGCACCAGAGTGCTTGCATCTGCAGGTGAGCCTTGGCACAGACGGCCTAAACCACCTGAAATTTACGGGACATCAAGGCCTGTCCGCAGCTGGGCACCTGTCAGTGTGACTTTGTGTTTCACTTCTCATTTGAGGGTTCGGTGAAGGTGGCCGGGCAGAATACTGTAGCTCGATTCAGTTCGAGTGGTCTCGTGGCGTTTCGATTCTACCAGTTCTACCTCTCCTTTGTGTTAATAGGTGACTGCTTGTGGCGATCGTGAGTTCAAGAAAGCGCTCTCATAGATCTAGCACCAGAAGCATCAGACCTTGGCAAGAAAGAGTTATTCGCTTACAGGCTGCGAAGCCTGAGTGCGAGCGTTGAGTCTGCAGGCGCAGTTTGGGAACGCACCTGGGAGAACCGGCTGACGGACGGGCGATACACGCCTGAGCTGCACGCCTGGTTGGATATGGGAGGCGCTGGAAATAGGATTTAGTGCGGGGTGCAGCTTTTCGGGGTTCACCCGTCTTCGGTTCAAGTTTGCGTAGACAGATGGAACACGATGCTGCATAGGCTCTCCTGCTTCTGCATGGGAGGCAGCTTCAATCCCGGGAGTTACGTCATCTACGGTGATATCGACGTGGAGGTTCATGTCAACGTGCCAGAGACAGAGGGAGTGGCTTAGACGTCCTAGCCCCAGCACTTCAGAGCACGGCTCTCACAGCTCCTGCCCGCTAAATTCTAAGGTAGAACCCATGGGCCCCTAGTATGGGCCCTTAACCCTGGGACCCTAATATACCTACTATTTACCCTATATATACCCTGAAGGGACCCTAGAATCCCCTAAGGGCCCATGTTAGGGGCCCATGGGTTCAACCTTAGATAAATGGCGGCAAGGGGGCACTCGAATGCTTGAGAAGGCTCAAGATGCAGACCATTATTTATGTGAATCTGCAGTCTTGACCTTCGCGAATTTGGCCTGTGCTGTCCGAGAGTGAGTGCCGAAATAGCTCCGCGGGGCTCGCGAGCTCCGGGATGCTGCGCTGAGATGGCACGGAAAGTTTGCAGACGGTGTGGCGATCCGAGACGGATCTTCCTGGCTGCCGTGGTTCGGCGATGTTCGGCGCAGATGTGAGAAAGGCCGCAGGGAATGGAGAATCAAGCAGCTGCTCAAGAACGTTTACACAACTGTCGCAGTTTCTGAGCCGCTGGGGCCCAAAGCATCGCGCTTTCTCGAATACAGCTGTCCTAAGCATAGCGGCTGTGCCCCGGGAAAATCCATGGAGCCCCGACGCAAAAAATGTCCTTCCTTTCTCTGCGTCCTGACCTAGTTTCTGCGCCCAGCTGCCACCAGTGGATGGCCTGGGGCAGTCGAAGAGGGTCTCGAGCAAATGCTTTGGGCTCAGTTGAGCTGAAGGTGGGTGATTATTCTGCAATTGTTTGCGCTTTGCTAGCTGCTCTGCGCTGTCCGAGGTCTCGTCGCCGCCGCGATGGCACGAGTGCAGGTCTGACCACATGGCTTCCCTGTCTCGGTGTGAATGGTTGTTCAACCAGAATGCCCGGTCTATGCCATGATGTGGTCAGCAGGTCGGGGCACTGGCGGCACTTCTTGCTGTGTTCGTGTCCACAAGGCAGACTTGGAGCCTGCAGGCCGGGCGGCTTGCCTGAGTGCGAGTCCCTGGCTTTCGAGATGTGGGCTTGACTTCCATTTAGGGCCAGCCTGAATGTGCATTTCCGCCTGAACTGAGAGCTACACGGTTCAACGTCGGCGTTCTGTAATGTCTGTCGATGTTAGCCACTCTCCGGGCTCATCGGCAGCGCACCTGGCAGGGAACTTGCTTCGACAATGTGGAGCAGATGGTTTCGGCCTCAACTTTGAAGCATCGACTTCACCTGTGTTCGTGCGAATCAGGCTGCGGCCATGACTTCATGATAGCTGCGAGTGCCATCATGCGAATAAACACAAGAATGCGTCATGGAGGGAGGTGCGCCAAGCTCCGGTGTGGTTTGCATCCTCTATATACAAGTGTTTAACAGCCATGGAGAAGCAAATCAAATTGGACCCGTATCTAAGAACGATGCAGATTCTAAGTTCCAAACCACGCAAAACACGACGTACGCGTAGCATCAGAGTGTGAAGGCTCATTGCTGCGATCAGCCGGAGCGTCGGGATCCGAGTGATGTGCTGTTGCGTTTATGCTTTTCTGCAAAACAGCGGTAGTAAACATGGCGGCGGCCGTGGGGTAGATGCAACACTTCGGTCCAGGGTGCAAGCAGAGACAGAACTTCTGTGGGGCCTGGCTCATTCTACTGTTGATCTATGCCTTCACGACCGAGCATGATGGAATCGGCATCACTCAGCGAGCAGACCCACCACCCACAATTGGGCGGGGCATTTGATCTAGGGTGACCCTGAGACAGACAAACAGCACTTGACGGTAAGTTACCGGCTCCGGTCCTTGTCTTAGAGGTTGCTTCGGCCCGGACAGCATGATGAAAAATGCCACCTACGAAGACTGTTGCGGCCGAGAGCTCGAAGTGCTGATGGGATGGTGGGATCTTTGAGTAGACGATTCCGACTTGGCAGTCTCTCCGAGCCAAGGACCAGGCTTTCAAGAGTTTATGAAAATCTTCTTGAGCAAGGCCAGTCCGAACCCTGCATACCCTGCCAACATCGTTGGCCCCACAAGACTTCAGCAAAACCATACAAAGAAATACACTATTTAGCTATCTATGTCAATGTGTGTATGTAAGTTTGTATGTGCGTAAGTATGTGAGCATGTAAGTATATGTGTATGTGTATGTGTGCGTAGGTATCATTCCGTTTGTCTATCTATCTATGTACCTATCTATCTATCGATCTGTCTTGTTTTCTACTGGATTCTACCTATCCCTTCGTGTCCGGATATCATACACACACGCGCGGCGTACCTACATTAACATAATATACATACATACATACATACATACATGCATGCATGCATGCATGCATGCATGCATGCATACATACATATGTACATACATGCATACATACATTTGTACATACACACATGCATGCATACATACATACCTACGTACATACCTACGTTCATACATACATGCATGCATGCATGCATGCATGCATGCATGCATGCCTACATGCCTACATACATACATACATACATACATACATACATACATACATACATACTTATATGTGCACATACACACACACACATACACAAGCATACGCACACGCGTGTACGGCATGTTACGGCATATATACATATGCATGCACCTACACCTACACTCACACCGATACACCTAGATCCATACCTATACCTGTACAACCACTTACTGGGGGGTTGAGTTAAGTCGTCCCCTCCTGTGTGAAGTCGTCTCCGCGTGCGTGCACACTGGGGGGAAGCCATTCTCGACAATTCCCGGCAATCGGTACAGCAACACAACCAAGTCGCATCATGTCTTTCGGATCCCACCCCACACTGGGGGGCAGCCCGGGGTCGCATCACTGAGCCTCTATAATACATAATTATTCGTATACACAAACACACAGACACACATACAGATCCGTGCCCACATACATATGCATGAATGTCTTTGCAACCTGCTAGTGATGTGAGTGGATGGTTGTGTTGACGCCTCAAGGTGGAGGCAAAGAAGAATGCACTGCGGGAAAGTCGTCGTCCGCCGCTTTAGTGTTCATGCTGAGTAGGGGCCAATGTGCTCTGTCGTCTGATGTTGGGATCTCCCGAACCATCGCCTGCTGCGTCGAGTGCGAGTGCCAAAATAGAATGGCCTGTGCCATGTACATAGCATGTGCATATGCATATCTGTACTATGTATATGTATACCTATACACACCTGCACACATAGATACACATACACACATGTGTATACATATATATATATATATGTATACCGTATATATATATATATATACCAAGTGTGTGTGGAAGGTCGTGAGGGTCGCAGAAGACACGGAGGAGCTCCGGGAGGCTCAGTTAAACTCAGGGAGATGAACAGAGCTTTCGGAATCTTTGCCAGATGCAGACCATCATGAAGGCGTACCTGATATTTGCCCTTGCCTTAGGGCATAGGGTGTGCCAGAATCCGGGTTTATGCTGCTGTTCTAGTTGCGGCTCGAGCATAGCTATTGGCTTCTGCTCGTGAGCGAGCCGCCACAACGCTCAATTGAGGTAAACAGCCTTGACACCACTGCTTGGGAGCTGGCTGCCCAAGTTGAAGGTCCTGGCTCCCAGGTCTTTGTTGTGTTTGCGTTTGAATGCAAGTCTCACTCGTGCGGATCCAGTGTGTAGGACTGCAGAGGTGCTAGATAATCAGCCTTGGCAGTATCTTCAAACAGTACATATCCGAGGCAAGTTGGCGATATCCCACTACAACACCCTCACTATGCAGGATGCAAATCATCATGTGGGCATTCAAGGTCGGCCGGCTTCTAGGAATTTTTCAGCATGAATATATGTGTTTGTCCGTCTGCCTGTCTGTGTGTCTGTCTGTCTGTTCGTTCGTTCGCCTGTCTGTCTGTCTGTCTGCCTGCCTGCCTGCCTGCCTGCCTATCCAGAACTTGCTTCACAGTGCTTTGAGATTCCTGCGCTGGGGTAATATATATCTAGTATCAGTAGTAGGCTAAGAAGTAGTAATGAGACTTCGTCGTCGTTAATGTGTTATCAGCAGTATTGTTAGAATTTCGAACATTAGTAGCAGCAGTAGTAGTAGTAGTAGTAGTAGTAGAAGAGTAGCAGTAGTAGTAGTAGTAGTAGTAGGAGTAGTAGTAGGAGAAGCAGTAGCAGTAGCAGTAGCA